TACCTCAGCAACTGTATCAGCACAACTTCTTTGCCTCTCAGCTCTTGTCATCTAGCAAATACTATATGAGTATGAGGGAAGAATCTGAAACTGAAGTACTAACAGCCCGGTACGAGTAGCGCGTACTACTTGTGCGTAACTGAGTACGACCAAACTGTACTTTCAGAAACATATTTGGCGATCAAGGCGATAATTTTATGAGTGAAAAATCACATTCGAGGATAGGGACAACAACTTGATGACAATGGCGAAATCGAGAAATCAATCCCGCGTATAAGAACATCTATTTCGTGATGGAGTAGGAATCGGATGCCATGTGGATTTAGGTTACCCTTCAACCATTTCATGCTAATATTGTTAGCATGGTACGGCTGTGTTGTAGTTTTGCCTATCGTATTCTTCGAAGTGGCCCACTACAATGACAACTCAAATCACAACGGTCAACAAGAGATGAAACTACGCGAGGTAATGATACGTGCTGGGACTCGACAAATCTCTCTCCAAGTACTCTCGCTCAATGAGGGACTCGATGCTGAGAAGGAAGCCGATCAAAAAGTCGTGCAGGTTCGATTCCTGGACTAACCGTTTTTTAACTTCACCAATCTCGGCAGTGAAAGTAGCACTGCATTCCTTGAGGGTCTCTGCCACAAGGGAGTTATGAGACAACGTCTTCTTCGATTTCATGATCCGGACTAATACAGCGTCCAGAAGGAATCTGATAGTAAAAGCGAAAATACTACAGTCGCGAATCGGACACGATCTGCTTACTGTCGATCCTCGTTAACCCTGCTATCAGTGGCACGCACTTCCGCCTTTTCGTCCCGTACGGCCATCTAAACACGAGAAATGTGCCTCCACCAGGAATCGAACCCGGATGTATATCAACAAGATCACCTGTGGTACTATGATACGCCTTTTCTTCTCCTGTAACTCCCTATTGAGAGTGTATGATTCAGAAGCAGCCACTTGCTTATCCTCGGGTCCTCCTGTTGATCTGTTCAGAATCTGATGCAACTACCGATGCTTCCAACGCTACTGCGAATAACCTACCCGGACTCGGTAGACCATAGGGAAGAGGATCCGCCGGAGCTCTTCCACAGGCAAGCCAGTAACTGTCGGAATGAGAACACCGTATGAGCAGAATTGTTGAAATGGCTAATTCTCTATGAACAAATCGCAAGTTGCAATCCCCAGGGATCGAACCTGCGACCTCGCACTCACCTTCACAGACCTTGGCAGCAGTAGCAGTGCTGCTATCATTGAATACATATGTAAGCACTATTGCTTGGGCTGCTGATACCACAAGGTCCTTCACGACGGGTCGAGCTGTACTGCGCATGTTATA